AAAACGTCTGCAAAGGGAGATAAATCTGTCTTAATAGTATAATATATCATATGGTGTTTGAGTTCGATCTTTGAAAGTATTACGAGTCATTTCCTTTAATTTCAGAGAAAAGTTTGCGAAAGTTTTGATTGCTTTTTTTATAATTGTTAGAATGACACGATTTCATAAATTAAATTAATTTTGCACATACACACGTATACGTACACATATACATATACATGTTTTTATATATTATATTGCGTTTCTTAATATAAATTAAATTAAAAAATTTAATTTGAATTCTTATCTTCATTAACCGTTTTATATAACTACCCGCAGCTGTGATTAATTTATTTTTAAACATAATAAAAATCATATCTAAAATTACTTATGCTCTCATTCACATTTATCTTCTCAACTTAATATAAATTGTAGTGTAAAATTTTTTACTCGAGCTCATATTAAACATATTTCTACGTTGTAAATTTAAAATCTACGTAAAATTGTTGTCAATTTGTATAACATAAAACTATGTATGTTTACATGAAAATATTGTGGTATACCAAAATGTGCACGCGACTGCAATAACTCATGTCGTTGGAAATGTACTTCGTCATTCGCAGCTTAATTTTCAACCGAATTTATAGCTGAGTCATGTTTTTACGCTCTCACATTTTAGAATCGTGCGGGACGAGTTTTTATTCATCCGACGAAAAGAAAGTTCCAACGAATTGCTTCTAAAAAGTGCGTTTCGCATCAGACAACTGTTTACGACAAAATATTGTATATTTATATAAGAAAAATAAACTTTTCTAAAAAGAAATAAAAACCTGAAAGTATATATATATAAAAAATTAAGTCTAAATACTATTTATATGCAATAAATAGAAGTTAAAAAATTAAGAGGTATATATATTTTTATTTCTTTGTTTTTATTTATTACCTTTTTTAAAAGGGCATTTTTATAAAAATTAATCTATATAAATAAAATTCTTAACAATAAAATATCTAAAAAATAAAATATCTTGTCCATATCTATTATTGCAGTTCAATTTATCGTATGATGTAGGTGTCGTTTATATCACAAAGGATCATACATATATGTCATCAAAATAAATATAGCATTTTATTTTAAAATATAGTTTTTTCTTTTTTATCATGTAATATATAAATCATATTTTCAGAAAGAGAGAGAAACAATTTAAAATTATAATAAATTCAGACCTTTTTAATATAAAATTTTATTCTAAATATGTTTAAAAGAAATTTTAACATGGTTGTTACACTGCTGTTTGAGATTTAAGGCATTGCATCTAAGATAAGTCATATATTTGTATCTATCATATTTTTATGTGTTGTTTTTATCGGATCATATATCCAAACATATTATTTGAGATATAATTCTCACAAATCTATTGCTATAAAAATGAAAGTTTATCACCGAGCAATATGCAACAGTAGAAACTGTTTTGAAGTTATACTGATCTGTAGCATAAAAATAAATCTAAATTATAATAACAAATAATTATTTAAAAAATTACTACTGAAAATTTTATATTCGATATATACAATAATAAATAGATTAGTAAAATAATTTTATAAATTTTGAAAACTTTACTAATAATTTTATATAATAACTCTACTAATAACTCTATATATAATAATCTTCTAAAAATAGAAACTTTTATTTTTACTTTTGAAAATTATTGCTTTCAAAAGTCTTTCCTTCTCTCTTATTAAAATTATCTAAATACACATCTTATTAAAATTATCTAAATACACAAATCAAATTATGCAATTAATTACGTAATTTAAATTGTGTACGCGCGATTAATATATAAATAATTAACATACGAATAATATATTACTCACTTTAGAATTACTTCGCCGACTGCCGATGTTTCCTAGATTTGCTTCTCAGGTTGTCGAGATGATCAGTTGACGTATATATACGATATTTTAAACGGCATCCCCGCACTTTGATGCGCGACACTTTGCACGGCACTTTCGAATTCTTCGATCGCAAAGCAATATCCTGTTTCGCGTAAAGATTGCACTTCAAAAGTCGATGGGATAATTTCGAACAGAAAAATGCGACTACTCAGATGCGAAACTATCCGCGATATATCGAAAACTGATAATACATATATTTTGGGTACTTAGCTTTCCCTTCAGGATAATCTTCTAGGTACTGAGCCCTCCCATCAATGTCAAGATGTACCCGTTGAGAGGGTTGTATATAATTTTTATATAATTTTTTATGAAATTTAATATAATTTATGATTTATTTTATAATTAAAAGATTAAATTTCTGTCTATATTACATCTTTTTTTCGACACAGGGATATGCAATATACGAGTAAATATACTTCAAAAAACGAATACCGAATAGCAATTATTTCGTTCTTCCATTACAAAATATTTTTTTAATTATATAATATATATATATATATATATATATATATATAAATCATAAAATATATATGCATCATAAATATATGTTATATAATATAAATACCGAATGTTTCGTTCTGTGCATTAAAAATTAATTATTAATCACTTGAATCAATTGTTAATTGCGGTACGATATATACATATTTAAATAATGAATATAATCGCGATAATTATTGTAAATATTGTTTTAATACAATAATAATTTAATATTCCCATTTCTTTCCCATTTCTTAATATTCCCATTTCGCTCAAATTCCTACTTCAATTGGGATAAGTCGTATGTTTATTCTACGATATCGTATATTCTACGATATATATTAAATAAATAACCTTACCAAGTACATAAAAAGAGACTGGTCGTGCGATTATATCACATATATGTCACGATTATGTCGTCACGACGATGTCACATATATGTCGAGGCGTTATTAAATAATAATATCTAATGCAATCTTGCAATATATAAGTTTGAGATCAACTTATCTTTAACAATCGATACGAGAAGTTCGTCACGTTTATTAAATATTTTAATTAAATTAGTTTCGATGCAGAATATTATTAAAATTAAAATAAAAAGCTAAAAAATTTACTGTAAAAATTAAATTGAAGTAAATATACATATTCAGAATAGTCTACTAAGAAATATATATAAAAGAAAGTTAATATACATTATCCGTGGGCGAGATGAACTTATAAGTTCCCCGCGGAAATCTTCGTATGTAGTTGCCATAAACTTGACGGCAACTTCGGTAGTTTGCCCGGATAAAAGCGACCGCATGCAGAGTTGCGACATCGGTGGGAAGGGGCCGCATGCACGTTAATCGGCCGTAACCGCTTTACCCTGGAATTTGCAGCCACAATGACGCCGGATAACCTAACGCAGTTATTATCATATTAAACGGCGCGATCGATGAAGATTGAATGTCCCAAATTGGGCGAACCACGCGATTGGGAAGACGTCAGAGTAAATAGATGTTAGGCTTTACACGCAGACCTTATTGTTCGGCGGCTATTACGCGGGCAATGTTTGCCCTTATGCGGAAACTGCAGCGACGCAATATCACCTGTGATTGCTAATTAGAGCCGCGAGTCCATAGAAGCGCATTGCTTGCGGGCAAATAGAGAATCGGATTTAATGTGCTTTGGCATGGATATGCCATACAAATATAAATGAGACAAACATAAGCCTCTATGTACAAGTCAATTTAACTATGCGGCGAAAATACACGACATCACGTTTTTCTTCGTATTTTTCTAAGTTATTTCGCCAAATATACGCAAACTTTCGTATGCGTGAAAATGTTTGAAAAAAATCTGCCTCATTTGGAAAATATTTGTTTCGTTTGCGTCACGTCTCGTATGAATGTTTTTTCGCTAATTACGAGACACATTGTTTAGAAAATAATCGCTTTCGAAATACTGCAAAAAAAACAAGCGTATGTTTTTCTCATGTATCAAGGCAATCACAATCTATTTAATTAGGTAACGCATCTGTTCTATCATCCTCATGCGGTTTTGTATACACGTTGCACGTGTTGCATTGTACCTGGCCAACCGCGAACTCGCGATATTGAGTCAGTTAGCGGAATTTTAATTGCGCGCGTATATCCGAAATATCATATTGTGCCTGTGCATGTGTGCATGTGCACACACGGCAGAAACGAGTCGTGAAAATCATAAACTCCACGTGTAGCAATATAAAAAATAGCTATTTTCAGATATTTGTTTCGCGATATCCTATAGATCTGTTTTATACAAATGTCACGTATCAGAATTACATCAAAGACATCCGATATTATTAATTGATAAAAACAGGGCAGTTTATCGAAAATATACGTATCGACATATCGATACGTTGCGGTTTGATTCAAGTATATTCTCAGTAAGCGTGTGATGTACCAGCTTAATTTAATTGCTCACATGTACCACCAATCGATACGTTAATCAACCACGTGAACCATGTACATTCACCGCGTCTCTTGTAACCCAAGTTCTCCTTGATAAACAATAGACTTGTTATCGGCGTATCAGATTATAGGCGATCGTGATGGGATTATAACACGGAGTAGCCAATATTCGAATTCGCCGATAAATTCAGATTTGTGTTATCTATTTCGCGCACGTGGTCTCTATCTCGTTACGTTTCTCATCACCTCGCTCCGTCAGTCCGTGGACTCTAATTTATGTTCGAATCAGGCAAGAATTCTGCAACAAGAATAAATAATCGCGCAGATCTGATTTATATTATTTCTGTACGTATTTATATTATTTCTGTACGTATTTATATTATTTCTGTTTCAAATTAAACTTTCAGTTCAATTAACTTTCAGTAACTTTTCATATGAATGTATCTCGCGACAAAGAGAAACAGAACGCTTATTCGCGATGAATATACAAATTTATATACATACACATACAGAGTCTAAACAATAAAATATTAAATCTCGGTCTTAAAATGTTTTTGTAAAACGATGGAAAAAATCTTGATGCGATGGGCCTCCCGAATCTTGCGAGATCTTGAAAGAAAGCGATCAATTTCCGAACTTTTCTTCCCTAATTGCGAACAGACGCCTTCCTGGGTCCCGTGTGCGATTACGTGATCGCACCTGTGGCCAGATATGCGGGTGTATGGGGTATACCTGTGTTAACCGCGGGCGCACAAGCGGAGGCGTTTCGTCACAAAGGCGAGCATTATCCGACGCTAACCAGGATGATGGGCTCTCATCGCTTAGTGGGCGAAGCATTCAGACATATCCTACGGCGTTTCGGGTGGAAAATCGCCGGCCTACTCTTCCACAATCACGCAATGGCCAGCAGCAGAGGCAATTCCGAATGCCATTTCACGCTCAGCGCTGTATTCACGGCGCTCAATCAAACGCCCGTGCACAGAAGCTTTAATCAAGAGACGACCACCGCCGAGGATTACAGAAACTTGCTCACCTTCGTCTCGAAATCTGCAAGAAGTAAGTCTGTTCAATTTCGTGCGTATCGATATCGTTAATTTTTTATTCTCTTTATAATGTAAGGCACTCAAAAAAGCATATGTCAAACGTCAGAAGATATTGCAGCTCTGATGAAGTAGTTTTTGAAATAGTTTTATTCTATTCTATCATAAAAGGAAAGAATTTGGCTAAGTTGGAAGGAAAAAGCAGCGGAGAATATATATTAGAAGAACATATGTTTAGTTATGCCAGTACAAGGGAATAATATTTTTTTAAATAATAATAAAAATATTAAAAGTATTAAATTATTAACAAAATATTAGGTGAGTTGTTATTGTGAACAAGATTATTTTAAGCGCTCTAAAACAATGACATTATCAGGACTTAAAAAAGTATGTAAACTTTCAAAATACTCTGCTGTAAAATTAACCTGGCACATTTTTCTCCTAGACGCTTCATACTCTTGCCCGCGGGGATGAAAAATGGAGATGAGATTCTTATTATATACACAGATTATTTAAATACGCGTTAATATATAATTTAGAAAATACATTCAAAAAAATCATTATATGTAATAAAATTTTTAAAATCTTTTTTCGGAGAATTATTTTATATTTTACTAGTAGAAATTTAAATTGTTTTTCTCTAGCTGTACTATCGTATCGTAAGAGAAAAACACATCTCCTCTATATTAATATCTGGTTTTCTAATAGACATTCAAGACATTGAAGACGAATTCTGTAACGTTATTAAGCATTACTTAAGTAGTTCCGCATTGCGCCTTCTGCTTTGCGCAGACTTTGCATAAATCAATCAACCTTTATTACAGTCGACAAAGTGTGTAACGTATACCATTAAGGTACATCGTGTTACGAAACTGTGCTTGATAATACGAACGGTGAAACTTCGACATCGTCATTTAATTGATACCGTTTACGAAGTTTGCTTCTACAAATGCGCCCTCGTCTTTCATTCGTTGATCGCGTTTAAGACCATGAGCTCGTCAACCAAGTTTAGACGTGAACACCAAATAAATTTTCATTAGCAGCTTCATCCTGTGGGCAACGCAACTGTTGGCGAAAGATGTTCCGACAAACTTTAATATTATATCTCAAGAAAGAATCAAGAAACATACATTAGGTGCATGCACGTTATTTATCTTAATTATCGTATAATTAATTATTTTACATACTTTGCGAAAATTGGACATGTTGCAAACTGCATAATTAGGCGGAGAAACTTCTTACATGTAATTAATTAATTTAATATATCTCAACTGGATGTCATAATTGAGTTACGTTACAAATCACGTTAATTGAATCATCGTGTGTATTGTTACAAGCAAAATATCGAGCAGGTAATTTCCTATGTGAGTCGTATCTTGAAAATTTCTCTGCGTTCGTTTTCCGTTTATCTTTCCGTTTCGCTTTCAACGCTTCCGAATCGTATTACGTAAAGTTTACGGTAGACTTGTCTTCAATAGGAATGAAACAAGCTGCAGAGCATGTCTCTTCAATTTGATTCTATCCGCCAAACGTGCCCGTACTGTATTTGCGATTTTTGAGATAACGTATAAATATTTTTGATCCTATTACCAAGTAATATTTTGAATTTATCGATTATGATAAATACAATTAAGGAGATTAGTTTTTCTTAATAAAGTACTAAATATAATTAAAGGAATAATTTTTTTCTTATTTCTTTGTAATTAAAATTATTCTATAAAGAGCGATTCTATAAAGATATTTGCACATTTCAAAAAAATTAAGAAATTAACCTGAACTTTTTTTAAAGATTCTTTAAAACACAGTTACATAAAGAATAATTTTTTGGAGATAAAAATAATAGACAAAGTAAAAAAAATGCATATTTAATATATTTTCTGTGCATTTTTGCTTCGTAAATCATTCCCTATTATTAATGATTTATCATATGTTTATTATTTATATATTATTGCTATTATTAAATACATAAGATTATTAAATTGTGTTGTATTATATCGTATATGTTAATTACTTGTCTGATTACAAGATTCTTGGAACAAAACCGCGAGGAATTCGCGGGCGAGATCGAGACGCCGACGCCAACCGATTTTCGAGAATTCGACATTAACTCGAGACCGTGGCGTATTGTTATCAATATATCTATCAAAATTACTAGTAGATGCCACAAATCGCCGATCGATTGAGATTCTCAAAGTTTCGCTGTCTCGATATGGACTTAAGCTGTTATCGAATTTTTGTCATTATCCGCTTCGCGAAAAATGCGATGATTCAGATTCTTGCTGTCTCATCGAGTTCTCACGATTATGTCAAAAATAATCGAGAGACAATAAACTGATCCGATAAAAGAGGTATCTGCTTCATATTTAATGTCGCTTAGATATTAACCTCTATGTATTGTATTTAAAAAATGTTAATCTTAATATTACTGAAATAAAATCATTCAGAGGCATAGAGAGCTGGAAATTAATATTACTATCTATTAATATTACTGATCTGAATAAATAATATTAATAGTCTCGGAGAATTGATAACGATATATTAATGTTATAAATAGTATTAATATGTCGTTATTAATTTTATCAGACGTTTTGCGTAAGTGATGCAATGATATATGATTGTATTTATGTTTTTTTTTGCATGTAGGTTTATGTCATTTTAAAATAACTTCAAATTATTTTACACATTTAATATATATTATTATTATAAATATATATATATTATTTAATATATATTAATTATTGCGAGTAATTATTTTATGCATTTTATGAATATTAATGATGCGATTTTATAAAAACACCAAAGGGAAAATTATATACTAGCTCTTTTTTAATACATTATATATTAATGAAAAATTGTTTTTATTATAAGTTTATTTTTTTTAGAGAATATTATTTTATTAATAAATTATTTGTATATTTATTTTAGTAAGAGATTTTACTGCATTTCTTCAATTTTCTCGAAACAGATGTTACTACTTAGACACTCGTCGCGTCAGAATTATCACATTATCGTACCTGGAAAGAAAATTACACGACGAGTTTACATTTAACTCTATTCGAATGTCGTCTTGGAAACTCGTGTATCTCTGAGTATCGGACGTGAAAGACGAGCTATAAAAAAAGACATAGAAAGATAGTTCGATCTATGTGATAATGAGGCTATTCCCGATATACAGACGTGCCATGTAACATCGATCCGCCCATTTTACTCGCATCGACGACTGATATATCCGGCTTGTCCTTTCGTTTTACGCCTCGACTACTTTTTACTATTGTTCACATTCTCAGTCGATATAAGATGTCACGTTCTCGATACCTTGATCATTTATTAATTTTTATCGCAACTGGCTCAGCGATTGTTGAATTAAAAATTCCTTGCCAGCGATATTCTCTAGCTAGACTGCCCATTTAAAAGAGTGAAAATTCCTCATATTTTAATTTTCTTATCGAGTAAGTTCAAGATACTTTTGCAATTATTATAATGAATCTCTATGTATATAAAAAGAAAAAAGGAAAACATATTTGAACTTATGAATATTTTATGAAAAATTCTAGACCTCAAAAGAATATCAACAATGTTTATAATCGATTCATGTCAAGCTTCTTAGAGTTAATCTGTATTAAAGCCGCCTAAATCCGAGAGGAAGTACAGGGATAATGTACGACGAGATGCCAGATTACGATCAATATTCGCAACAATATTCTGCTATAATAGACGTTGAGGCATCAAGAGACAATGAAATACTCTATTGTCATCCATCATATATCTTGTGTATTCCACTCCAATCTCTACACGCTCTCATAATTGTATTTCCGGCTAATCGAAACATTTTAAACGGGGTAAGGAAATATGACTGCGAGTGCTTAAGTCGACGTCTTTGCGTTGACAGGATGCGTTCACATAATGGAGCGAACTTTATCCCTTTGTATCATGTAACTCTTGTTAGTCGTTGTCGGTGGCAATGGCGGGGTTAACTACAAGCGAGAAGCATCTCTAACGAGACAGCGAGTGGAATCGACCTGTAATAATGCAAGTACGACGTCATTTCGCATCTTATTGTACGCTTGACGCTACGATATAATGCATTTCGTTCGCTCGCCGTGTTCACAAATAATGCATTAGTATGACAGAACGCATCCTACGTCATAACAAATTTATATTTGATAATGCCAGACTAATGAGATGTTTCATCGCGTATCGATAAACAGAAAATGGAGCAATATATTTTGATAGTGAAAATAAAACACAAAGGTATCATTTTGATTGTCATCAATAAACTTCCTTACATTTATTATTCTTTTTTTACATTCTCTCTCGATCAGGTTTTCAAATTATTTTAAAAACTCTCAATTATCTTTTTCTTTTTTCCATTACATTTATTAATTTATACTTAATTATTTTGAAATATTGAGAAAGATGTGATAATTGCGCAAATTAAGCAAAATTAATTTTCTTGACCGGATGCAAAGCGTTGCTTCGGTTATTAAATTTTGTGAAATTCTTTAAATTGTGTCAAGATGCTTATGTGTCGCGTATTACATTCTGATAAATCGAGTTAGCATGATGTGTGCGAGCATTGCACTGATTAATGACGTGTATTTGTGACTTGTCATAAAAGTTACGACTTTGCTCGAATAAACGTTTATATTTCGCTTGGCGTGTTGCGGTACGAGCTATCGTGAATTGTTTCGCGAAAGCGTATTTCGTATTTATGTGTCTTAGAATTTATTTCCTTATCCGTTTCAAAGAAGCAAGATCTATTTATCAATATTCTAATACTCTTATTTTGACGATTTGACGAATTATAAATTCTAGTATATTCTAAATTTTAGTAGTTCGCATTAGATATTTATGAGTGAATCAATTCCTGAGAGCGCCGCTATTTCTCTTTAAAAAATTTAAATGGTCAATAAAACCGAGCATAAATCCGAGCGTGGATTTTACTTCGATTTCCGCGAAATGCGTAAAATATTGTCTGAAATGCAAGGAGGAAAATTACCTAGATTCTGTTTGATTTATAATATGTCTTTAATTTATTTAAATAATATATACTTTTCTCTCCTCGACAAAAGAGAAGATTATTAACTTTAGAAATGACGGGCACTTGTATAATCCTTTCAATTTATACTTTCAAAGAAAACTTTGTATATTTTTAATACAAGTTTCCTTCGCGCGCAATATCTTCGTTTTATGAAATTCGGGCAGTTTTACGGGTTCGCAGTTGATGTGCAAGAAGGAAATGAAATGTTCGTAGAACTCGACTGTGTAGAAGATTTTTCTGGATTTACGCAGGATTTTATCGCACTTGCGATATAATACGGATACGCTAGGGGAACATTCATCTTCGTGTTACTTGCAATGTTTGCAAAGTTGAAACTTCACAAGAAGATACATTTTGACGAAGCAGATAGAAATATTCGCACGTGAACTTCAGAGTGACTTTGGAACATCAATGTACATTCGATGTATCTCCCTTTAAAGCGAGATTGAAATTTCTTTGTCTTTTCCCATCTACTTGTATGTACATTTCTCCGGATACTGCGTTAAACCGGCTGGGCTTAAAGCTATTGAGCCAGAATAAAAATGTCAAAGTAAGATATATACGGCGATTATAGATCGCTAAAGTTGAGCTTTATGCACAGCATAATTTGTCATCTTTTTATTGTACCTAGGAAGTTTTATAATTTTACGTTTTATTTTTTACGTGTAGTTCAAAAATAAATTAATTTATCTATCTAATTTGAACAAGTGCATTTGGAAATAATTATCCATAAATTAATCAGAGTGAGCGATCATTCAATGTGATCATACTGACCTCTATGATTAAAGTTTACTCAATAAATAATTAACTGAAGTGCAAAGTTTATATAATTAGCACAAAGAAAAGAGTGTGAGAAAAGAATAACTATTTAACAAAAGCGTTCAATTATTTTTAATTGATTTACGATACTATTTTTTAATCAATCATTTACTGATACAACTAGACTATTTATCATTTATTTTTAGAAAAAATATTGTTATGTGTATATTAACGTATATTAATGTTTTCGTATTTACAGAAAATTATATAACCTTGCACCATATTTTATGTAGCAAACTCTCGATGCAATTGAATCGATCGTATATCGTCAAGTGACCTGACGGCAATAATATTTATACAGATCATATCTCCATCTATTTCTTTCTTTCTCTCTTTTTATTATCCTTTTTCCTACAAGAAACCTTTTTTCTTTTTTATTTCAGTCGTTGTAATGTGCGCTAATTCAACAACCATCCGGGAAATATTACTGGCTGCAGAAGAGCTCGGAATGGTGGACTCAGGAGAATACGTGTTCTTCTCTATAGAGCTTTCCTCCAGGTAAGTAAAATAAACTTGCAATTTTGTCGTCATAGGTAATTGCGTATGTTATTTGTTATGGCGCAATTAATGTCCCTGCGCAAGTTTCGTAAAAAGTATTGAGTAAAAAGTAAAGTAAATATATATATAACTGTGTAAAAATATCATGTGTGTGCAGTTAAATATACTGCATGTAATATATTACATGAAATATATTACATGTAAGATAATTATAAAAAAATTCATTAAAATTTAACACATATAGAAGTAAAAATTAAAAAAAAAATTAATCGAATCATGTAGTGCATTCCGAATATAATTATCTTTGTGTGTGTAATATATTTATTTTTCTCTTTTTAAATTCTTTTTATTAGATAGATAAATTAATTTATTTTTGATCTACACGATTTATTTCAACTAAAACATTCCGTATATTAATATTAAATTAATATTTACATCTTGCTTAACTATTTAATTCAGTCGTGTGTTATTTGGAAAATCTTGCACGCTACAAAGTAACGAGATAATGCATATACGAAGTCTGCACGGGAACAAGTCGCATGTCGAAAACTAGGACATAAATAATGGGCTTGTACAATAGCACGCTCGGACATTAAAGCCATAATTATAATTGAAACGAATGTGAGTTGTCAGTGCTACACAACTCGACCTTATGCAGAAGGCAGATTGACGTAAAATACATCGCGTCTATTTTCTCTAAAATTCTAAAGGGATAAAAAGCAAATAAAAAGACATTAATAAAAGATCTAACAAACATGCAGATCGAAGAAATATTTATTTTCTATGCATAAAAGAAAAGAATTTTTTTTTTCTCTAAATAGCTAAATAGCAAAAGCAAAAATAATTTTTCTATAAAAATAGATATTTTCTTTTATTAATTAATCACAGATATCACGATATATCTCCTTTAATGAATTATTTTGGTTAAATTTTATTTTGATTAAATATTCAGCACTAACTTCTACGGTTGTCCTAGAATAATATATACTAATATTAGTTTAACATAATACACCAGTGTAGTTACAATAACCGTATTTATTTTACTTATTTCAGGTTTGTTTGAAGATATTCTATGCGCTATTGAATCAAGTTTGAAAGAGCATTTATAGCCTAATTCAATTTAATTTATTCCTCGCCGCGCCGTCGACGTAGTCGTTTCACGATAAATTGTGAAGCATTCTGCTCGCTTAGATAAACTGCGTTTACGTATCTACTGTATATACAAAGGGCGGGTATTGTGCCATCGCGTCGTTTAACGAGGTCTTGAAAAACGTCGTCCCAGAAAATTGCTAATTTCAAAATGCGTCGTCGTGCGCGTAGTACGTGATTCCTCGCGGTCGTAAGTTTCTTACGATCACATTTTCGAATGCTGTCTTATTTTCTTGCTTATCTTATCCGCGGTGGTGATGGTCTTGTATATTTGCAGCCAAAATCAAAGCGGAATCTTGCATTTTAACGATTCCGAGATGGTACAGAGAGATTGTGCGTCATAAAAATATCTGCGCCTGTGAGTAAAAATGGTGTTATCGCATTCGGTACGATTCCCATTATATAATATTTTTGCTTCCTTCCCTGTTCTCATCGTTTTGTTTTCGTTAATAAATGATATCGCGCGATTTCGAATCAAGTTGAATCTCGATTCATCGTATCGTAAACCGCAAACCGCGATCCTTCATTTAGATTACAGTCAAGCCGGGATAGACAAATGCATTAATCTATCATCATTCACATAAAACTATTCGCATTGCGACCAGGACATTGGTAACAAGGAATTGATAGTAAATCTGCTTTTGGAAGAGGAAAACCGATAAATGAAAATTTCCGCACGAGTTTACCGTAGTCGTGGATCTTGTAAATTTTTCCGAAGTAAAACGATTTCAGTTTAACGAGATTTCCATGAGAACCCGATGCAAAGAATGAAAACTAGTTCAACTATCTCGTAATTTGAACAGTGATTAGCAGTGACTCTAACAGTAATTGGAATTTTTATTCAACCGTCTTTCGGTAAAATTAATCGAGCAGCTTTCCGATAACAGCTTGTCACGAATGACAAATGCGGAGCACGAAAAAGAAAACATCTCTTAAAATTACGCTCATTATGTAAAGAACTTTCTCTTGATTCTTTCTTGGATAATCGAGAGAGTACTCTTCGATACTTCTGTTGCAGATTAAAAAGTCGAAGAATTTCTAGAATGTTAAGAAGGAGAGAATTTTCTTGTGTGACTTGTGAGATTACTTTTGAGCTGTATTGGCTTATTTACTCATCTCAACACGGCAGAGAAAGAGAGAGAGGGAGAGAAAAAGAGAGAGAGAAAGAGGGAGGCGGGGGAGGCAATAAGATGCTGAAATAAAAAATATAATATAAAAATATAAGCAGTATCGTTGATGCAGGAATCATGTTGGCGATATATATATATTTATATATATATATATATATATATTGTATATATTCCAACATCACTTTATTTAATCACATACTTCGCGCAGACATATCGCTCCTCGGACATCATGTTTTCTGATTTTCGACAACGAATTTTCGCCCCTTTTGTAATTCGAGCGTTATACATATAGAATAGATACTTGCGGTTCCTATACGTCCCAATTATAACGTAACGATCGGTCATCATAAAATGAAAGTTATGATCTCTGGCACGGTATAAAGTCGAAAAGCTGTTCGGTCACAGCACATTCGAATAATTAATGTTTTATCGGAACGTAAATTAATTGGGTCGTTTTACGATATGTCATTTTAATATCAACAATTTCAGGTAATTGTCGGAGAAACAAAATATATACATAATGGGAACAATTCAATAATGATTTTCGCACGTGTGCGTCCCTCTGTATGAGAAAAGCTATATTTGTAGATTCATTTCATTCAAATGCAGAAAAATTAAGATAGGACAAATTGAAAATCATGAAAAAATTTTTTGCTTTTTATCTTTAATATTAAATGTTCTATACTGGTGCACATTATAATATGGCTTTTTAATATAAAATTTATATTTAAAAAATATATAATTATATTAAAGACTATATGACACATTCGATTTTTTTAATATAAAGATTTTTCTTATTTTCTTCTATTTTTATAAATTTACTGAAATTTAAAAAAATTTAAACATTTCGCAAAAATCAAAACATTCTATAAATATTATCGGTTGGGAAATATTTACTTCATAAAAACTGCATAAAATTGAATTTTGTGAAATTCTGCAATAATATCAATTTATTTTCTTTATAATAACGCACATTTTTATTGCATGAAATCAATGGTGCGAATGCGTTTCAGTGACAACGACTCTACAGAACCATGGAGAATCGATGGTGACACCGACGAGCGTAATGAAAAAGCCCGTAAGGCTTATCAGGCCCTAATAACAATGACGGCGCGTACCCCGGATAATCTGGAGTATCTAAACTTTTCACGCGAGGTCAAAAGCTTGGCGCAGAGCAAATACAACTTCACTTTTGGAAACAGCTCGGTCTCCACCTTTGTAACAGCATTTTATGACGCTGTGTTGCTTTATGCCCTTGCTCTCAAGGAGAGTTTGCCGGAGAAACCGTGGGATGTCAACCTGGACGGCGGTAATCTAACTCGAAGAATGTGGGGAAAGAGTTTCAAGGGTAAGCTTCAGTTATTTTTCTTTATCGTTACTTATATTTATAGTGAGAGAGAAAGTCGTGTCAATTATCTGAGTGAAATTTTAATTTAGACTTTTTTAATGAAAATGGAGAGTCGATCATCAAAGGGGAATTCTGTACTTTACGCGAGAAATTTGTATTACATTATTTTACTGCTGCTACATTAATTACATTTATTTATAACTAACTCGAACATAGAAGTACAGAAATTGTGACACGACAATGATAGAATTCTTTCATTGTGTACTTTCGATGAGATTGCTCAACAAACGCGTCATTAGCAGCACCAGTTTTTCAGCGAAACGTACAGTTTGGATTTTCAGAGAATTTACGATAGAAGTATGTTTATCGGTGGAAAATCGCGTTATCGGTGGTTTTTGTCGCGCCATCGCGTTGCAGTCGTTTATAATCCACGTCGAAAGTTAATCCTCGAACGAGAATTAGGCGTCAGCATTGTTGAAAAAGTGATGACTGATGATTTCGTCAGACATTGTTTAATTAGATATGTTTTGAACAGAGCCAAATTGATTATCTCGGTAAATTGTCATATCGGAGATCTGTCACTAACATTATCATGGCTTTTCAACTTCTGTAACTAATGATATCGATTTGCGTATTATTATCGCTTTTCTCTCTTCCTTCAAATCTCTTCTCAAATTTTATCCGAGCGTTTATAACTTATATTATAATTGTTGATATATTTTTAGTTTTTACAAAGATTTTTTTGTTTTAAAATTTTTTAATTAATTTCAAAGCGAATGTTTTTCTTGAATCATTTTGGTAAATAAATGTTTTCTGTACGGAAATAAATTTAGATTCTTGAAATATATGAAGTAATCTGAATATCTTATTTGGTTTTTATTTCGCAATATGAGACTGCAAAGTTGAGCTTGGCTCTTTGACTTTACATCTCATCTTTCCGACAATCTTTGAAGCATCGCGCACTTTGCCCTGTTATATTATGCTACTCCGTTTCAACCTTCGCGATCCTTGATTTTTCCGCAGGAAAACCTCACGGTCTCGATATAGCTGATGTGGAACGCGAGATTGCTAGTTTATTTTGTATTTTAATGCGTCCTTCTATGTGCGTAGAAAATTACATTTTTATATCGGTCATCGGAGCTCTCATCCACGCGAGATTTTATGCTGGATAAAATATGGCTTTTCTAAAATTAACAATCTCATACCTGCTTACTAGCTGTAATCTTCAATTCTAATAACTGCACGGAGTAATTTGAAATATATAATTACGTATAACGTTTTATGCTTTCGCATAATTATTAAATACGATTAATTCCAGGGATAACTGGCGACGTAAACATCGATGAGAATGGCGACAGAATCGCGGATTACTCTTTGTTGGATATGGATCCGGAAACATCCAGATTCGAAGTAAGATATCCTCAAGATTCTCATATTCTACAAATTCTTCATATTCTACCTCTAAAATGATGTAACTTTATCCAACATCTCGTCGTAGCAGCTCAAGAAATTTAATCCGCGACATTGTACGATGCTAACGTATTTAGCATGTCAAGCTAAGATTGAGTAAAATCTTACAGCACTTCTCTCTCAAGCGTGTCGTTTCGCTTCCATATGTTCGCTTGTATACATGCTTCTCATATCTTTTCTATGCTTTTCATCTTATTTGCAAAATAATTTTTCACAGATTGTAGCACATTATTACGGTGCGAACAAAACATTGGAATATATTCATGGAAAGGATATTCACTGGGCCGGAGGTCGTTCAGAGCCACCTCCAGATACGCCTACTTGCGGATTCGACGGATCGTTATGTCCCGATAATTGTGAGTTGGTAATACTTGTACAATCCATTGTAAGTATATATCAGTTTAAAAAAATAATATATTTATTAGATACATTATATAACGCATATAACGAGTGCGACAGAAATATGCAATCTCAGAGATGAGAAAAATATTTTACATAATTTAATAATTAATATTAGATCAACTGAGAGATATAATGTATAAGTTTTCTTTCTTATAATTATATTGACATAATTCTGTGTGCACTTTTTCTGATGCACGGAATTGTTTGACTCTTGGAAAGTATAATATTTTCTTTTATTAAAATTACTAATGTCTCGATAGCTCTTCCAGGGTACGCTATTCTCTCCATGGTATTGAGCTCCATTGTAGTCGTTCTTGTCGTTGGTTCAGTACTTGTTTATCGGTAAGTGAAATTTACTTTTTGAGTAGTAGCTAGCTTTTGTATTTCTTTACACCAATGTATTTTTGTCGGTATTAATAGAGTTATTGAATGATACGAATTGATGTTTGGATATTGAAAAACCAATTCAATATTCAAACTAGATAAATATAAATGTATTTGTATGCGAAAAGAAAAAATAGATCCATGGAATCGGTGCATTGTACATGTGCTTCAATAAAAATCGGCCAATAACAATTTTCACTTCAATCACCGACTGCGAATCTTTAGTTTAAATTATATGATGGTATAATAGCTGCTTTTTCTTTCTTTTTTTATCTCTTTTTCATTTTTAATTAGTGGAATTATTTTTTATTAAAAATTATTTTTCCTATTGATATAAAACGCTTCCTATTTTCAATCCCACACAATAATATATATTTACATATTGATCCATTAAAATATTTTGAAACAAGAAATGAAGATTTTTTACAAATTAATTATATAATGGCTTAATGGCTGATGGTCATAACTGACATCAAGTCAGATTAATTAATGCAAGTCTTGTATTAGAAATGTGCACATTTAGTACTTAAAAATATCGGTCGACATTTACGCTGATTCACGGGAATTGATATGCACATTAATTAACGTGGATTTACTGAATTAAAAATTTAAAAGAGTTTTTTTGCGCGAGAAGATTATCTCGATAATCTTCAAGTAGCATTCATCAAGTACATATACATATCAAGGATGAATAGCTGAAGCTTCTCAGCTTCCTCGAGTGTGCTACCATTAATAGGGCAAGGAGAGGCTAAAGAAGGTAGAAAGGAGTAGAGCGAGGTAACAAGGTAGACACGAACGAAGCGAGATAATACTTATCTGCGGTAAAATTCTAGCGTATACTGTTAATCGATTTATCTTGCCTGTCGGTTCTGTTATGCGACCTCTTCAAGTGTCTTTATCTATATGGCTTGTTGGTCACAAAAGCATTTCAAAACGCTTAAACGAAGTTGTTTCCTTTCATTTCGCAAGTGAATTTGGATCAATCGTATTGTTACGACATGATCTTAAACATCTTATGGGTAATAGTAATGGTCTCGAATAAATTGGTATACTACAACTAGTTTCGTCTATTTGATTGGCGATCTTCTGTCGAGTTACTACATTATTATTACTACATTATTTCGAATACAACTTTATTTTATACGCGTCGTATTTCCGCAAGATCTTAATTAGAGATTAATTGGAAATAGCGCAGTTGCTGCACGCTTTTAAAACTCCTTTAAGACACATTAAATTTGTCTATTTAATGAAATAAATTATTTTTGGAAAATAATGTCTATTTTCCAGCATATTGATTATTTTTGAAAACTTTTATCGAGCTTTCAACGAAAATCTCAATTTACAAACCTAATCGTAAAACGAATAAAATTATTTGCATTTTCTATTGAGGTCAATTTAATTTATGCGATATTAATAGAGCGCTGTAGAAATTCCGCGAGATAAATTAATCTTATAATCTGCGATGCGCGATCGAAATATATTTTTGGTATGATTTTGATATTCAGAAACATGAGCGAAGTGCAGAAAGTAGTTAAATTGCATTATATAATTTGAATTTTGTTTTCTGCTTTATAGGAAATGTCTTTTCATTCAGCAATTACGCGAGTGTTTTGCAATTCGCTTTGCACAATTTTCTGTGTACTCGAACTATGTGTAATTATTGTAAAGAAAATTATACAAGGAAAGAAAGAAAAATTATCATATACAAAGAGAGAAAGAGAGAGAGTGAGAAAGAGAGAACTACTTTACTTTTTTGAAAGTCAAACATTTTCACGTTTACATACTCGTGGAAAATGTAAATGTAAATGAAATTATCTCAAAAACAGTATACTTATTGCGAGAGAGAAAATTTCTTGATAATTTGCTAAATTATATAGAAATTATATATCTATGAAAATTTCAACAGCAACCACAGAAAATTATCAGCAATTATCGGCAATATTTTCTTGCGGCATATATTGCATTATTAGATAATTGGCGACACAAGTCGGATATACATTTCTCGATGCTATAACAAAAGAATCTGCTCATTCGCGAAAATTTGCATAAGATTGATCGTTCCTCCGAATCTATTAACATCGATAATGAAATTCGGTAATCACATTCTTGAAATTACACGTCACGATAAATTCCGAATGACGATTGCGTTTTCGTTCGCTTCGCGAATACGTGCTTCCGCGGTTATCCTACCCGATATAACTTCTGTTGTATATATATCAAACTCATTTAGTTCGAGAATTCCGTACAGGGAACCTTTATATACGGAATAATATCCCGTATAGGGACTGATAGGCATGCGGTTATGAGATACGCCAGCACGTAATTACCTCTTGCGTTGTTTGACGCACGTACACATCGACACACAGGGACTACGAACTTGTTTAGTTCGCCTATACAACTTTACGTATTTGTAGATATTGGAACATACGACATATGACATACGACATACGACAGTTTAACGAACTGATTAATTGCATTTCCGCAAAATATTTTCTTGTGATAGGATAATTGACGTTGATAAAAGAATGTCATTAATTAGCGAGAAAAGCGCGCGAAGATATTCTTTGTTGGAAAAAAGAATGAATGAATGACGTTGAAAATAATGTCTGAAATTAATTCGCGGCATGTACGCGTACAATTTATCATGCGTACAAACTGCAAAATATAACGCAAAATTTTTTAATAAGATTTCATCCCCTCTTTTGCCGATAATAATGCTGTCGTTTGTTGAAGCAGACGTTTCAAATTGGAAGCGGAAATTGTCTCCATGACGTGGAAGGTGCATTGGGACGACGTAATCGTAATACCGAACGCGAGGACAAGAGGCTCCATGTACTCTCTGGTTGCGAATAAGTTTCGCGGCAGCCAACTGGTAAATATGAGAGAATGCAATTCCCGCGTGAAATCGTTATACAAGACCCTTAATATAATTTTGTTAATATAATTTTGTTCGCGAAATGATAATTTGATTGCCCGACATTTCAAAAAGAATAAATCGAACAAAGGCAAATGTTTGCTACGCGACAAGCTACAATGGGTAAGATAAACAACAGCGAATCAACGCGACAACGATAAAATTTTTATTCCGCACATTTATTTCCAATAGTGTTATGTTTATTTCGACGATTCTGTTCTCGACGCGCTCATATCTTAACAGTTGAAGTTGGAAAAGAGAAAAGTGAACAATAGTGTAAGGTACCATTTCGAGTATAGTGCTCTCTTACCTACTTCCGAAATATTCACTGTTCTTTACTGTAGTGGAATAGTAAAACTTTTTATTTCATTTTACGTTATTCTGCATTTCGTATCGTTCTTTTATGATGTGCAAAAGCGAAAGGAAGTATCTTATGATTAAGTTTAACTTCAAAGCTCTTATATTTTAAGCGAGAAGTAAATTCCAAAAAGATTAACAATATGATTTAATTTTGACTTTAAATTTATTTGCATGGTCAAAATATTTTGGAATCTTCGATCTTAAACGAAATTTAACGACAGTTCTTGATCAGTTTGCAGTCAAACTTTGTTTAATGAGATGGTATATCAAATAGTCTTCGACTTTAAACGATCATGAGTGAAGATCTTGCTAACATGGTTTCAATATTATATTGAGTAACGAGTTTACTTTAAATTCACCCTTGCTTAGTTAAACTCACCTTTACTTTTAGTTAAAAGTTTGATTAACTGGAACACATTTAATATTTAGAGTTTTAAAGGAAAAGAAAAATTTTAGATTTGTCAAAAAAGCTGTCTTTCTGTAATATTTTCTTGCAATTAAGATAATTTGCTTTATGTATAGTTTGTCTTGCATACAAACAATAGTACAAACAAATCCATACAAATTATTTAAGGAATAATTTTTTCTTTCAGACGATGTATTCCGAGGATAATGCAAGTATGCCGGATGGTGTTGATAAAAATGTGTACGTTCCAACGGGATTTTATAAGGTTAGATTATATTTCATATTTTTATTTAAACGTACAATATTTAACTTGACGCACATAGTGTATCATCAATTATGCTAGATATAATTTCAGAGATTTAGAGAAAATAATGCGTGCATTACATCTGTAAATATGTATAAAAATATATATTTTTCGAGTCAACATCGCATTTTTCAGTACTGATAGGATTAGCCGGTATATATTATTCGCAATCGGATTACATGATAGAAGCGTCATATATGCAAGAGATTTATTTTGTTTACATCTACCAATCAATATTCATTTCAGTTTCTTCTAGAACAGAGATATTGCTTCAACATAACGATATATAATTGCGTGACAAGTGCACGTGAATGAAAAAGTAGCAACATTTTTAATCTATCAAATGATTTCATTTCTCGTATAACGAGCGCGGCTGTAACTTTAAAAAAGTTTTCTCATAAAATTTTCTATCGTGTCGCAATTGTCTTTTATCTTTCAATAACTCGAGCTGTTTCCTTTAAAGCTTCCGTACGTATACTACCGAGTAACAAAAAATTGTCGGATTTTATCAATATTCAACGTTGATTCAATTTGTATCTCTAGGCGTCGTTTTTTATAGAGAACGATATATATATATTTTTTTTACGGACAGTTTTCGAGGCAATCGCGAAGAATTGTCAGTCAATAATTCCGTTGACTGTAAAATCACAATTTGTTTCAGAACTCAAAAGTCGCTATAAAACATATACCGAGAAACAAAGTCGAGATCTCCAGGCCTTTATTGCTCGAATTAAAGCGGGTAAGTAAATTGCATTTACAAACAATGCTCATCTTTATGAGTTATTGCATGTCAATTTTAATATATACGTTAAACGCAATCTTTTGGCAGAACTCTAGAATATATTTTTCTCTTAATAACAATTCTCGATAAATCATCGATAAATCTCGATAAATCATCGATAAATCTCGATAAATCATCGATAAATCTTGATAAATCTTCTTACATAACTTCTTATCTAGTATACGATATTGCATGTAATAGGCTATAATTCATATGAGTGGTGATTTTGGTGACTTTCGCAGATGAAGGATCTTCAGCATGATCATCTTGTACGATTTTACGGTGCCTGTCTTGAGCCGCCGCATTGTTGCCTCTTAACCGAATACTGCCCTAAAGGATCTCTTCAGGTGAGAATCGCATTTCATATTTTAAATTAAAGTTTTGATAAGTTATTAAGAGGATTATATTCTGTATATCACTAAATTGAAACGAGATGGGTAAATGTGCATTCCTGCTGAATGTTTCGCAACTCGGAATCTTAATTTTAATTACAATGTGCGAATTTTCAAAGATATCAAAGTATTGTTTTGAATTTACAACTAATCGGTTTAATTAATTTTAATTAAATTTTAACAGGAGATATTAATTGGAAGTTTATTAAATATACTATAATATTTTAAAAATGTAAAAAAATAATAATTTTTCTTTCAACTTTTAATATTAATTGAAATATTTATAATTTATTTGTTACATGAATCACTGTAATATTCGAATCCATAATATCATATATTATCTATATAATACTAGGAACAATGTGCGACACATATAGGTGTTTTAATGCTCGAAAAGAAACTTGCAAGCACTGGCAAGCAATCGCTCGCACACCATTAATGCGTTTGTCTGGACAGTGTATTCTATATACGGAACAAAGGGTGCTCCACTTTATTGGATATCTGTTTTGTCTTATACTGCAACTTTAAGTGCTCGATTGAATCAGTCCATTTTGCCCGAAAGTGCAATTTCTTCTAACTAGAATAAAACTTGTATATAATACAATTGATAAAAGAAACTATATATATATATATATATATATATATATATATATATATATATAGGGTGTTTCTTAATTAAGGGGAGTTTTTCATATAAACATTAAGTTTCATATAAACATAAAAGTTCTAATAAAAGTTCTAATAAAAAATTGAATAGAGGTTGCTAGTTTCATCCCCATATAATAATACAGGAGGCTGAAAAAATATTAATAAATAACCTTTTTACTATAGAAAATATCCACCTAATTTCATTTCTTTAACTTGTTCTAAATTTGAGAAAAAAATAAAAATCTAATTTTTACGGCCATTTTTGAAGGAGTGTAACTCCACAGTGAGAGATGTAGGAATATATGTTTATATGAAAAATTCCCCTTAATTTTTGACAAAAAAATCATCTTCTAAAATTTTTCGTACTTACTAAGAAACACTCTGTACATATACAAATATTTTTTTGAAATATATAACACATACCGCGTATTCAGATAAAACGTATTTATAACAATAATATTTGAGCCCGTGTTGTATTCAAAGTTCGATCGAGATATAAAATTATATAGTATTCTTGCGCATTTCTCATCGCACTTTATTATCTTTATCTTTTGTCTGAGCAGGATATACTGGAGAACGAGCAGATAAAGCTCGATCGCGTGTTCCGGGGATCCCTGATACACGATATCGTCCGCGGCATGGTTTATCTCCACGCATCGGAAGTCAAGAGTCACGGTAATCTTAAGTCTTCGAACTGCGTAGTCGATTCGCGATTCGTCCTGAAAATCGCCGATTTCGGTTTGCACGAGCTCAGAAGAACAAACGTGGAAGCGGACGTCGATAGAAACAGCTACGCTTATTGGAGAAGTATGTGTTTTTATGAATCGAACTGTACGTTCCAACGCGCGTTCCATGATATTTTTGTGCTGCAAACGCAGTTGTAACGTTAAATATTTTCCAAGCACGTGCGGAATAACGCGGGCAAAAAGAAGAATGTGTGAAAGAACGCGAGAAACGAGACAATATTTGGAATAAACGTACAAAACTCTTGATTGTGCGATTGAACAGTATTCGAACAGTGATTTTATTGCGGGTATATACACATGCACATAGATATTTATGATAAAGTGTACGTATTGTGAAAAAGATATTGGTTTAGTCAATGAACGTATATCAGGAATTTTGAATGATGAATGTTTTTTATCTTTACTTTATTTTCGTCCAAATATTTGTGATGTATAATATCTCTGTTGCGCAATAACAGTTAAAACGTAGAAAAAGCAGAAACGAAAAAAGATTAAAAAAAAGAATAGTTCGGACACTCTGATTTTTCTTTTTTTAGAGCAGGAAATTTGGTATTTGCAGAACAGCTGTGGACAGCACCAGAGTTGCTGAGGATGGAAAGACGACCACCCGAGGGTACTCAGAAAGGCGATGTATATAGCTTTGCTATAATCGTTCACGAGATCGTGATGCGCCAAGGGCCATTCTACTTGGGAGACAATAACGATCTTTCTCCGAAGGGTGAGTCTTTAACGTCATTCGGGGCAATCGCGGGATACATGCAATTGCCTTTTGTCGTGTTTCGTTTAACATGATGGCGTTGCAACAAAAACGGCCTATTTTAATATCGTACCATAATAGTTTGCATCACAGTTACTAGAATCAAGTAGAAAGATAAACTTGATCATGCAATATATTATCTAGAAAAGATGATGCAATGATAGAAATAGAAATCGATATAATTTTGATAAAAATTATAAATTTTTTTTGTTATAAATAGGAAAAAATGTATATTACGTCAATTACATAAAGAATCTACGGAGTTTATTTTCATGTGTTTATAAAGAAATTGAGCTAAATGATTGTGATCTCATCAGAGCAAGAATGATAAAAAGCGAAAAGATAAAATGTTTTGTTTCTCATGAACACAATAATGCATTGTTTTGCTTCATAACGATGGCGCAAAGAGAAGCCTTGATAAACAATGCTTAACAATGCATTTCACTATTTATGGACGGAAATGAATTAAATGACGGACAGGATAGATTAAACTTGAGGTGATTATTTCTTCGATGTACCGGCAATCATTTTTGCAATCATTTTTCAAGTGCTTTCGCGTTTCGTTTAACTTTAGTATTTTAGTATTTTAAAACATATAATCACCGGAAAAACTTTAATCTCGTGCACAATATAAAATCATACTTATATTCCATCGCACACAATATTGACTTTTTGTGCCCTTGTTTTTAGAATCAGAGTGTGTTCCAGAGCTTAATCACGAATACGTCGCGTGACGCGATTGTAATGGTTCGCACGTTAGGATTTGACTTACAATAATCTATATTCTAATATATAAAGAGCAATGTATAATCCTCTCAGTTTTTGCATTATGCGAATTAAACAGCGGAAATAATAATATTTTCTTATGTACTTCGATAAAATTGTAAACATTCTATCACACATTGAGACTTTATTTATTTACTATTTTTCTGATTTTTTAAAGAGATTTAATGATAAATATTTTTCTTTTAAAAGCTTCAGATTATGCGAGAGAAATTATATTGTGTTTCCATAAAAAAAAAATCTTTTTATATAAATTATATTGACTATATAAAAAATCTTATTATATAAATTATATTGATGAATTTTTTTGACACAATCTCGCCAATATAATTCGAATTTTTTTACTTTCACAATTAATTTTCCAAATAAATTTTTTGTCTGCTGATAAGTGAAGTTTTTTGCTTACCGTTTTATCGGCCGCCAAGCGGATATCAAGGCTTGCTAAAGTTTTTCAAGAAATTTTATTGATCGAAACAGCGAGCTTGCAAGCTCTCGTTGGAATCTATATAGTCTGTTATCAACAGTCGAGCACGTGATAAAGAGAGAGCAAATGGCATATGCTATTTAAATCGTGTAAGGCAATGTATCCATTGTCACGCAGATACTACATTTTATTAAAATTCAAGAATATTACAAAATTTAAGATTATTGCTCCATGATTCATCAAACTTTTATTTCTTATCTGGATTTGACTGCATAAGACTTAGAAACAATAATTTCGTTTTTGCAGGAAATTGCCAACAAATTTCTATTGATAAAATATAAAAGAGAGATATTAATTTCATAATTCATAAATCTTCCAAAAAATCATCACATTGATATAAATATCTTATCGGGTAATATGATAAGAAGTGAAGACAAAGCTTGGTAACGCAGTTTGTGTCTTAGTCCGAGGACTTCTTTTCCGGAAGGTAGCGTCGATAAACCGATATCATATCTATGATACCAAGATCAAACTCGCAGTAGTTGTCGATACTCTATGATCAGACGGGAGAACCGAGTTTTACCGTCGAAGCTCGGGCTTCGAGTTTCCCAGGTAGAATCAACGGACGAACAATCGGTAACGATGCTCTCGCAAGCTCGCAAGCTGTCGGCTTGCCCACGAGGATCGATCGCAGGATGGAATGTATCGCGAGTTCCGTAGGAACATGCCGAAAGCTCAGTCGAGACTCTCACGCGTCCTAGAACGCACGCGGCTGTCGCGCGCGCTCCGCCGAGATTCTTCTCGATATCGCTTTCTCTCTCTTTCCCTCTTCCTCCTTCTCTTTCTATTCATTTTAATATATAAACCGCATTCTCAGCGAGTGAAACGGCAACGGGCATCACTTATGCCCGAGTTTACGGCCTAATAACGGAGTCGTACGTGTTATTTAAACCAAGGAAGAGAGATTCCTTGCCGAGCGGCATATCCGACAACAATGTGCGTGCATACCGTGCGTTGTGTTTTCTTCCCTTCTTTCTTTCCTTTTCTTTTTTTAATTATCTGTGATCACATGAAACGTGACGTTGCGTGAATTGCGAATCATTTGCATAATTTATCATCGTTTAATCACCATCGTCGTAATATCGATTTCGAAATACGAAAACAGAGTCTGCGGAGGTCGATGTACTTTTGTTTAATATCCGCGTTGCAGCCACGCGAGAGCAATTACTGTTCCATCGCAGCGGAAGGTGAAGAAAACGCGCACAGAATAAATCCCGGTGACCGTATTAGAGAAAAGAGGCCGGTGACCGTGTTAGAGGGTTCTCGCTAGAAGAAATAGAGCTTTAACTGTGTTAAAGTTTCACCATTGAGGGGAGTAAATTTCTGAAAGGGTTGGAGAAGAAACTCTGCTAAAGGGGAAATACATCTTTAATTGTGTTGGAGACACTCTATTCGAAAGAAAGAGAAGGAAAGAAGCGATTGTGTGTAGAAACGAACTCACTGACGAAGTTAAAAGTAAATCTTTGATGATGCCAGGGAAAGTAACTCGATGTCTTTCATCGTTCTGGTAGATAAAATAAACCGCTAAATGTCGCGTAAACTCTCCGCGGAATTAAAAGTTTACTTCCAATTTATGATGTTTCCGATATCAGCTTACGACTTAGCGCGAGTCGGATCATCCGTTTACTTGAATCACTGATCAAATGTAGCTTTATGTTCGACTGTCACGTTATACGCTGTGCGATCGCATCGATTAGGTGAACATGATCTACCGATAGATTTAGGAGAGACTCGACGCAGATTTCTAGGAGATAGAGCTCGTAATGATCCGACAAGTGATGCATCGTATAACCGATCAGACGGCTCGGAGTAACGGAGTCTCGCGTTCCACCACATTCGAGTTCACCGGCCGCAAGCACATTCCAGCATTTTACATATTTCCGGATCTGATTCCTGTCATTCTTGCGCATGTACAATATACGGACGAAATTTTTTTTTTCTTTCGCCCTGTATATCGCTCTAGATATACATCTGTATCTCTGTTTTTGTTGCGATAGAAATTCTCCATTTATTCTCTCTGCTGTTGCTATGCGCGTTGCCATGCTTACGATAGTGTGAAATTACAATGTACTTCAATGTCCTGTTTCTTATGTCCTTCTCGTATCTTTTTCCTCCTTTATGTCCAAAGTTTCTCGTCCGAGTTTCTTATTTATGCAACCACGATGAAAAGAAATACTTCCGAGCATTTCCTCAGAGAGAATATAAATTTCTTTTTAAGAAGAGTATTATGCACTTATATAAAGTCGCGACTAAATTTTTTATTTGGATAATAATGATTTTTTTGTGAAAAATTTTTAATAGAGTATTTGTAATTTTTCATCGCTTATGTTTAAATTTTTGTATTTGGCACTTTAATATAAATATTCAGGATTTTTTTAGTGAAAATAAAAGAGCTTAAAACGTGTGTTTGAAAAGTGTGTGTATTAAAAAAAATCGATATTTTATACATGTATATTATATAATAATTATAATTATGGTCGCACTTTAACGAGATGTCGAACGCATTTTTCTCGTACTTTTCTCGTGAATATTTCACTCACATTCCGACTTTATTTCCTGCAAAATAACTAGGTGAAGAGCATTTGCGCTAATTCGCTCGGAAGTGGAATCGAGGTTACGAGCTCGTAAGCTCCCGGTCATTAATTCGGCAAGACGTTCGAAACCGACAAAAGCAAAGCGAGGGAAACAATTTTCTTTTCCTCTCATTCTTAAACGATTTGTAATTCAGCGGACGCGTGTCGTATGGAAAATGTCGTGTCGTGTGTTATTGACGATGCGGCCGAAGTTAAAACTCGATGTTCGTAGCATAAGAGCAAAATTCGATGGGATCGATTGTACCATAAAGGCAAAGACCCGGAGTGGACCCGGCCAGGATGGAACGACAGAAACGCGCGTGTGCCCTAATGCGTCGAAATGGGGAGGAGAGGGACAGAGAGAGAGAGAGAGAGAGAGAGAGAGAGAGAGAGAGAGAGAGAGAGAGACAGCTGAGTTAGCACTTAGATTTTATCGGAAGCAACGATCGAATGATCCGCCTGCGTGACTTCCGGAAAGTTTCTCGCTGTTAACCGCCTTAACCGCGGCGAAAGGAATTATTTGCTAGTGTTACAATCAAGCGGTTACCCTCTCTTCGAGTTTGTTCGTTTTCGAAAATGCGTCCTTTCTCTCTCTCATCTCTCTTGCTATGTACGACTTTTAGTTATTTTTTAACTATAATATTTCTAACTTTCGTATTTCCATTTAAAGCTAAAAGTGTGAAAAGATCTATCTTCTTTTAAGTTTTCAAAGATGGTAAATTAAACAACGCTTATGCAATTTGTTCTAACGATCGCATTCACTCACGAAAATTGGCGCGTCTTTCTCAGCAAAATATCGAAAGCAATGACCTCGTGAACTCAGACGAAAAAGGGTCGTTGGTCGTAAAACGATTGTGTAGATATGTCGGAAGGGAAAAAATCAAAGTCGAGAGCGACGATCCAAGGCCATGAAGACTTAACTTTCCGGCAAAGTTCCGTCACATCAATTACTCTTATAATATCATTATACGCGATTTAAACTTTAAGATTATCATTACGCTTATTTCATCCACGAGCGCTTCGAGAATGTCTTTCGGGTAACAGCTTCATTAATTAGGGGATTGTATATAACATAACTTCTATAAATGAGATTAGTATGTCGCGTGGAGTAGATTTTGTTCAATATTAGATATTACATATATATTTTTAGTCTAACAAAACAATCGCTTTTCGCGGAAATGTCAGTTAATTTCAACGTCAGTTAATGTCAGTTAATTTCAACGTTTCCATTTGCTAATTACTCATTTATTTTAATTGTTGTCAGAATTGTCATTTGCAAAGTGTTTTTGATCATCATAAAAATAATAACGTGCAATTATAAGCAATTATTCAGTAATCAAAATTAAAGAAGTTGAAAAGAAATAAATTGATTTTTAAAATAATGAGAAGAAATAAAATGCAAGATATCTTATAAATATTATTTTAATTCGGAAAGTAATGCAAGCTTTTAAACAACACAAAGTAAATATATAAATATACACTCTTAGAAGAAAACAATATAAGCTTTTTAATAGTCCGAATACATTGACACTCCATTTCCCTTTGTATATATTATAAATAGCAAAGAAAATGAATTCTGCACATAAATATGCTTCTGTTGGATATGGAAAATACGTCATTATGGCCGTTAAGACATGTGTACTTGAATTAAATATATTTTCAAAAAGTGTGATATAAATTTACATACCGATGTTTTATTGATTCAGACTTGTTAAATTTTATATATATATATATATATATATATATATATATTTATAAACAATACATATCGTGTGTAAAAATACAAATACGCGGGAAATATTATTTATACACACAATAAAATCCGCAAAATTATTGTCTAATAACATGACACATAACATTCATGCGAAGATATACAACCTGTAACCATCTATATTTTCTATATTTGTTCTTGATGATATGGTCCAAAGGGCGCAATGCCTCTCTTCTTTATTTATATTTATATTTTCCCATTTCAACGCACGTCACAATTGGAAAACATTTTTTTTATTATTTCCGTTTATTAAAAAAAAAAACACGATACGATACAATCACAAGTTAAGTTTCTATTAACGTGTTCAACCATGCATATATTCGCAATCTCACGATCGCGAATACTATCTAATTCTGAAAATGTATTCACGCAAGTCAAGTTCTTTCTATCTTGTATGAAATTCCATCGTATTGTCGGATATGCCGATTCGTCGAATGTACAATATAATAAATGGCTTTCGCTGCGTGTGTGCGTATACGCGCACGTGGCAAAATAAAAAATGGAGACAAGAAAAAGGAGACAAGAGAGAGAAAGAGAGATTCAAAAGAAAAATCGCGACGATAAATTTTCAAGGGCTGTCCGGCGAGACAGTTTGGTTCTCCCTTGATCGACGACCAAAGGACAAAGACGGAATGGCAGAAAGGAGTAACGCTTCGAGTACCAGCAGTCTGACTTTGCCACCGATGCCGGGGGCGAGTCCTGACGGTGGGGCCAGTCCCAGGAGGGCCGTCAGTCCCCTGCTCGAGGTCCGCAGGCCTCATTGCACCCTCAACTGCGAGTCTTGCAGCTTGTTTCTCGAGGACATCTACAGGCACAGTACGTGTCCTTTGCGACGCGGATTTAGTTTCTCGTCTATAGCAGCGTCGCGTCGCGATCGAATTCGATACTCAATCAATTATATCTTGAGCGTACTTACGCGGGCACCACCCACTCGAGGGCGAATCCATCGGAGTATAACGCCTGATATTGACCTCGGGTAAAATTAGACAGCTTTGCAATGCTTTCGAGTTCCGTCATGAGAGATATTTCGGGCGAAATGTACACGTAAATATTACAAATTTATGCCGATTTTATATTATCAGGGAGAAGTTTCGCAAAATATGCAATGATGAATAGTGACTCTAATTATAATTGCACGGAAATGAGTTCATATTGCAATACTGCAATGTTTTGCGAATTTCAATGTATTTTTGCTACTTTTAATCAATGTCGACGTATTTTACATATTAAAATTCGTTAATATCCTTGTATATGTTATGAAATTTTTTATAATTAAGGGAAATCAGTTTGAGATATATATTATTATTATTAACTAATTATATTACATACACATGCCATACATATTATTTGTATTTTTTATATTTCACTATTGTGTGTACATACAATTATTGATTACTAACAAAATTATTTTTTAAACATCTTTTTTTAATCTTCCTTATCCGATCTTTTTTTGAAATGTGATATCATTGATTTCGCAGATGGAAATTTATGATGCGTAAAACGTGATGGTAAATGATATGTGAGAATCGAACTAGAACGTGCTTGGAGATTTTATATGTGTGGAATAGTGCTTAACAAATATTCCCTTCTTTCAGACTATCGAATCTCCTTAGTGAAATTCGAAACTGTGTAATTTATATATTCTTCATATCCAAATAAATAAAATCCAAAATAAAAATTTGATAAAAACAACATATTATTTTTGCTTTAGATAAAAATTTAAATTATTAAATATGACAAAAAACTAAGGAGCTAAAGAAATATTAGTTAACATTGAATAAACAAAAGTATGAATTGATTATTATATGTGTATTTTTATAATTGCTTATTTCAATTATGACAACTAATTTATGGATAATCTGTCAATTAAATAATAAGATTAATTTTAGTTTTAATAAAAAATAGCTCACAATCAGATGTGTGTGTGTGTGTGTGTGTGTGTGTGTGTGTGTGTGTGTGTGTGTGTGATGTGCAAGAAAAATCTATTTTCTCTTCTTAGGTACAAGTTAAATATAAATTCCGTTATTACCGAAATAATACACACCGTATTTTCTTTTGTCTATTAATTTATCTTGATTTTATTTCTTTGTGTACGTGATACTTCAAAATTATTTAGCTAATTCCACAATTCTATAGAATGGATATATCGATGTTACATCAATAATTTTGACAAGAACGTAACTATCGTGATTGCATTATTATAAATTGATATCTTTATCCCGTTCCGGTAAAATTCCTGCTTGTCATAAAATCGATGTACGTGACCGGAAACATAAATCGTATTATTGGATTAAATACATGGATTCGAATGTCCGCGGAATGTTTGATATTTTTTATAATTTGATTTAATCGATGATTTTATCTCAAATTCCTGTTAATTACACTCATTAATTTTATTCTCACGCATATATATAACCGCGCACTGTAATATAACTTTTATGAAAATAAATTTATATCGTAAAATACCCATATAAATATACACATATAAATTATACCTTGAGCAAACAAAGGACATTTAAAATTTAAAATCAATCTCTTCTTCTTTCTTTGACGGGAATAAAGATTATTTTCGCGATAAAAGGAAGAGTACAGATTTCACGATTTATCGAAATGTCTATAAATCTATAAACGTATCTTATTGAAAAATTTATGCTGATTTATATAGATGCAATAAGCTGTTGATATACGATATTGTACTCGAAAAGATCAAATGGTGATGCTTGTGTAACCGGCTATTTTTCGAAACGATATATGTAGACAGTAGTGAAGCTCGCTAGAAGGCGGACGAAGGAGAAAGTTCCTCGGGCTAGGCGGACCGTTTGACGTAACGTAAAGCTGTTTCACTGATTCCAGGATAAAGTAGGTTTACACTATTGCGTGTAGAGTTACTTCAACTCTGAGTAATTACAACTTTGCGGAATATTTCACGGCATTTCATTAATTGTCCCTTAACACGTTATCATGCTGCCCATAGCGAGGGCACGCCGTAATCGATAAATATTCTCATGCTCGACGAGCGAATTATTCTCCGCGCTCTTTACGAAGATTTTTCTTTTCACATTACTTTGTGAATTTTGATATCACGCGACACACACTTCCTCTTTGTTGCAGAAATAATAGAAGGCGTTAGAAGAGGTGGCGGTTCACCTTTAAGACCTGTAATTGACGACACTTCCGTTGAAGAAGAGGTAAATATTCTACGTAACAAGCATTCTAAATACGCTCGCATATTTGTATTTATATTTCGGTATATCTAATATTTATGCGAAATTTATCTACATATAATAATTAAATTAATATTATCAATCATCGCATTATTATCATTAAATAGATATCATAAATAATTGATATTATTCGCGAATTAGAACTATTTTTTCTCTAAAACAGTTTTCAATGCGAAAGCATAAATTTTCAAGAATAAAAAATCATAAATTTTTATTTTATAGGTAGCCACATTAATGAGACGATGCTGGGCGCAAGATTCCGCCGACCGACCGGATTTTCCTGCGCTGAAGCAGACCATTCGTAAAATTAATAAGTAAGTAATCTTTTTACCTGAATTACGTCGCTTGCGTTATTAATTTCTGCGATTTAATAGACAGCGTCGGTTTTTAATCACGCTTAAATCGATACTGACATCAGGAATGTCACGTAATTTGGCTGGCAATTTAAAGCAGAACCTCGAGCGAATTTTAATGATCCACTCTCTCTCTCATTAAGCTAAAAGCTTGCGTATCCAAGCCCGATAAAACAAACGCATATATCGTTCTTTAGAGTACCGATAAACTTCGAGCCCGAAGTGTAACGATAACGCGAACGCCGTAAAACTTCAACTATATCGTTTGAACTATCAAGAAAATGCATTAACTGCGTCATCGAGGTATTGTCCGTTTTACATTATTTTCATTTTGTCGCTTCTATCATGACTGCCAATTACGTCGACGCGAAATGTCAATGTATATCGGAAATATCGATAAGCGTGACCGTTTTCTTCGATATCAGCGGAAGTGACGCGTATAGATTATTCTTATATAATCGCTCGGATATCAATGCGGTCAAATAACACTCGTGTCTTTGCTAGATCTAGGATGATTTACGGATGTGATTTAGGTCGAACGAATTGCAAGATGGTTGACTGCGATCTGCGGTACAGTGATATCGTACAGCGTCGTTATTTATATTCAACTTGGCAAATTGTAAAGGTTATTGTGTCGACATAAAACGTCGCCAAAGAGCAAAACTCGTGATATCTCCGAGTATTTCTTTTTTTCTTCTCCTGGAGGCGGCTAATCATTTTTTCTTCCTCTTTCTCTCTTCTTTTATGTTCCTTTTCTCTCTCTTTCTCTCATTCTCCCGATCAGATATTGACATAGATGTCAACCTTCCGGAAGCTGTGCATGCATTATCTCATATTCGTCGAGAGAGAAATCGAGTTCAGGTGCACTAACTCGATAGGTCAATAACTGCACGCAAACGAGTGGCTTCCGGATGGCTGAGCGCGTCCCATGGAGGAATAGTAAACCGAGAAATAGGCGGAAAAGGTAAGAGGCTGAGTAGAGCGGAAAAGGGAAAGAAAAGAGCGCCAGCTGGAAGAAAATTCGAAAGAACCGTATTACCAGTAATCGATTACCGAGAGCGAAATTTCGCTCGACTTGCTCTTCTTCTCCGAGGAAAATTGCGTTCGCTTACAAGGCTGACTCTTTTCAGAGATTTATATACATAAATTGCGACTGAATTATCCGCGAGATTATCTTTTCCAAAGAAACTATGGGCTGAGCATGAGCGTGTTCTCTTAAAGGAGGTGAAAAGTTTCAAATTCTCGATCGTTGTTTTGCGATCAAAGTCAACGGTGAACTTGCGAGAAAATGTGTAAAAAAGGAAAGAGAGAGAGAGAGAGTTAAGAAAAGGATATAAAGAGGATGATATCGTTACTTAGCATAATTTTTATAAGCATAATTTTTCTCATCTTGTTTCCACCGTGCGCTAAAATTTAAATCGAATTCTCCAATCTCATGGGAAAACGATTTAATCGACATTCATCCAATATCTTCGACGGACGGCTGTTTCCACTGACGGCTTGTCGCCGTGGCTGATCGAGAGCTTTCGATCTCATTTAACTTTGACGTAGTTTTAACTAAACACTCGACAATTTTTATTTTGTTGATGATTTTACGCCTGAATGACTCATGAATTAAATCGACGTGACGATCGGTGATCGACTTTCATGAGAATTTTAGAACTTTGAGAACCTTTACAATATTTTTATATTTTTATATTTTTCATCTGATTTTTTTTTTAATATTGCGTAATATATTCGATCTATAAAGTGACATATTAATAAAGATATTAAATTTTATTAGAGAGATATTCACTACTCACAATTAATCGTTATTTTATGAAAAATGTAGCTTACCATATAATACACACACATACACACACACACACACACACACACACACACACACACACACACACACACATATATATATCGTTTAATAAGGATTAAATTTGAATATTTGTGCTAAGATTTGATATGTGTATTGTTCATGAAAGTTCCAAAGCTGCAACATTGCAAACTACACAGGTTCGCAGGACTGTGAGAATCTACTGTACTGTGAGAATCTCCTTTAAAGTTCCTATCTAAAGCTTATTGCTGATTCAGAAATGGTCGCGAACAACATGTTAAAAAAATCTAAGACGGCACTTTTTGATTAAATTTTTTATAACAATAATAAAATTTTTTATTATTATAATCCTGATTATATCATATATTAAATTTGAAGCAATATAATATAAATAGGATTCGCGAATGCGTACTCAAAACTTATTGATATCCGCAAGCCATTAATAATTACTGCGTGTACTTCCATATACATATTAATATAAGTCAATTCGTGTTAGTTGTATATTTAATGCGTAGTAAGCTTTTCGATACAATACGAGATTCTATAATATAAAGCCTTTTAACAATCATGATATATTTCGCCAATTTCAATTCCAATTTCATTGAAATTATAATTTAATCAGAATAATCATAATCATATTGCGAAGGTGAAAATGATTTTAGAATTTTTCAGCATACGAAATCTATTCCCATCGGTTGAATTAGATTATTTATTGTTTCGCGCACAATATGCAAATGAAATGTTAATGAATAATTTCAAACTATTTTCGCATAAATATAAATACATTATAAACGGAAGATCGATCAAAAATGGAGCGCGTCATTGCGGATTAATAATTGAGCAATTAATTGCCTTTAACGAAACAAACTGTTGCATATTGCGTAGCAATTGATTTAAAGTTTATAAAACAGGGACACAAACACAGGACAGGATCACAAACGTATGAAAGAGACAGAAAGGAAGAGGAAAGGCGAGAAAATTCATAACAATTGCAAAATACGTCCTGTTCGTGTAAATTCGAAATATTATTTTTGTCGCCCGATATACTTTTACGCGTGCGAATTTTACGACGCGCGTATTTTTCCAAAGAATTTTCCATTACACTCGCTTATTTGAATTACGCTTAGAAGAGAATTTCCATCTCACGACTTTCCGTCCCGTCCGAAATGCTGTAAAGCCGAATCCCGCACTCGATTGAAACGCATCACTCCGTACAGCTCTCGAGTGAATATCGGTGTAAAGACGATCGGATATATATGTATAGCACACGAAAGGCATTGAGCGGCTTCGATGTTCAATGCTGCTGCGAATAGTGTGATTGGCAGCGGTAGATTAAAGCGGCCGATAACGTCGTCGAGATTAGTTTGCTCATCAAAATGTTGGAAGCTGAATTCGCGACGACATCGTTCATACAAATTTTTTTTTTATTATTTAGACGTTCTGTCACGAGATTCTGTCGTCTCTTTAAAACATCATTGTTATGTGTATATATAATCAAGTGAGGTCAAACAAAATGCGTTAAATAAAAGATTACCCTCTCTCCGATAACGAAGCATTTCCTTCGATCAATGTATCGAAAATTATTGAGGCCAGATGAAAAGACAAATACGTCGCGACAGCGTCAACTCCATATATGTTCTCCATATTTTTTTTTGCATTATATTTTTTTATTCGCGTACATGCGAATCTATTTCCTGATATGAAATATGTTCGCTTCTCTTTTTGAGTTTATTCACATGAGTTATTAAATTACTCTGGTGCAGAAAGAAACAAAGGATCAAAAGGTAGAAAAGATGGAAAAAGGAAATGATTTCTATATAATTTTAAAGAAATAAAATTAATTAAATAAAATTAATTTTAAAGCACGAGAGAAATGAAAAGAGAGACGGAAAAGATGATAAATTGGGACATAAATAGAAATTAAAAAATTCAAACAACTTGTAAAGCGTACATGAGAGAAATGGAAAGAAGCGCGCAGGAAGCCAGTATCATCGATCAAGCATCTGAGAGGAATTTCCTTCGTTTCTTGAATGTCGCCAGACTTGCACAAAGTATGACAATTTAACTAAGCTAGTCATCTAAGTACATATGTACTTAGATGACTAACTTTGCGCGGTAATGAAGAGTTACTGTCGATATTTTTGTTTTAAAGGCAGATCATGGTTCTCAGGAACTTTCCTTGAGATTTAATTTCTGTCCACGAATTCTTTAAGACGAGGATTGACTCCCACGTAAGAAATCTTAGGGTTTTATGCATAACTCTTTCGTGCCGATATTACATTATAAATCTCGTCATATTCTATAAAGCTGCGTGGCAATGTGCGTGCGAGGAATATCTAATACCTTTTCACACAAAGGAGGACTGCTATAAACTCGTGTCTCTTGTATAATATTATTTCCCGAGCTATAAAATCGATATCGAAAATATTTCATAACATTTCACAGAGAGTACCTTACTACCGACTAGAAACGTTAATCTTTTTTTTATTTTTTCGCGTACACATGTCACGCGAGAATCATAAATTTTTTCCGATTAAAGGTATTTTAATAGAGAATATTCAACCTGAATAAAGGATCGATATTTTCTTAGCAAGAATTTTCAGGAAATGCATTCCAAAGATATTTGAGCTCGAAAGAGCTTTTCCGCCAATTATTTAAGTTTAAAAATTTTTTAAAATTAAAGTAAAACAAAATTTTTATTTTTTTTTAATTAATAAAAGATCTATTTGTTAAAATAGAAACTTTGATTAAGAAATTCCAAGAAAATCGAAAAATAGCAGCAAAAATGATAGTTTTCTCATGACAAATTTTTCTCAAGGAATTTTCATTTGTGAGATATTTTGAATCAATTTAGGAGAGGCATCCTTTACGTAATACTAGCATTTAATTAATGAAATAACATAGTGTGATCAGTAGAAGACAAGTTCCCATCGATTTTGCTGCAGCACAGAAACCGTGCTTAAAGAGGAGCGATTGATCACTAAGCACGTCTGTGTATGTTCTATTCATTAGGTTTTTTCTGCTGATTAAAATGTAGCTCGTGCATCAAATAGTCGCTAGTCTAATGAGGACAAAGAAGATTCGATTACGTTTCGGCAATTTGATACTCTTTGTTTTTATGAGCTTGAAAATA